ATATATATATATATTCTTATTCTTACAAAATTATAATTTTGTCCCCTCATCATTTACCTTTTAAAAGAGCCTTTCAGTAATTACAAGAATATTTTGATATACTATAAAATGTCCAAGCAAAGGTCGACATTCTGTGGTAAGTAAAAAATTCTTGTTTATTTTTTTATATTTTAAAAAAATATTTGTATACGAGTAAAAATATCACATTTACTCGCAAAATAGTGGTTGAGTGTATAGCTTCCTTCCGTAAGGTCAGAAAACTATCAAGAACTTCAATCAATGCCATCATGCCGTCAGTTTACGATCAAAACACTATTTTGACTTTTAAAATGCAAATTCAATACACATTTTTCATAAATAGGCAATGTGCCATATATGCAAAATTTAAAGTTTAGGTGTTAGATATGTACATACGTAGGAATCGAGTGGTATGCATGTAAATCTTTCTTTATTTTAATATCGATGAAATTAATGATGACTGCTCAAAGTTAATTTTTGTAAATCATATATTTCTTTATTTTAATGGTTTGACCTTATATAGTCTTACAATATTTACAAATAAATCCTTAAGAGTTCTTCTATTTACAAATAGGATCTTACATTAGATACCAATCTCAACACTCCCCCTCGAGATGAGCAAAAGATGCCCACTAAGCCTATCTTGTCACATAACTTAGACAAATCTAACGAGCTAAGTCCTTTAGTGAGGTAGTCAGCCACTTGCTCTCAAGTGGCTACATGACTTGGCTCAAGCAGTTTGCTATTCAGCTTTTCCTGAATGAAGAACTTATTGATCTCCACATGTTTGGTTCTAGCAAGTTGCACCGAGTTATTGGCGATATTGATCAAAGACATGTTGTTGCACGATAACTTCATTTGAGATTCTTGGTCCACCTTGAGCTCTACCAACAAGGCTCTCAGCCACATCATCTCAGCAACTCCTAATGCCATGACCATGTACTCTGCCTCTGTTGTTGACATCACTACTACTAGTTGTTTCTTGCTCTTCGTAGAGACCAAGCTCTACGAACATGCAATACTCAGATGTGGACCTCCTGTCATCCATACATGCCCAATTAGAGTCACAATAGCCCTCAATGCTTACATGTATATTCCTTCTGAAGATCAACCCCTTCCTTAGCGCACTCTTCAGGTTCCTCAAAATTTGATATACTACATCCATGTGACCTTTCCTTGAATCATGCATGTAGCGACTCACTACACATGTTGCAAATGATATGTTGGGATGAGTGTGACTCGGATAGATGAGATGACCTACCAACCTCTAGTACCTCTCACAATCAACTAGCTCTCCTGTCTCTGCACTCAACTTTCTCTTCTGATTAATTGGTGAAACTGCAAACTTGCATCCCAACATGCATGTCTCTGTGAGAAAGTCCAATACATACTTCCTCTAAGAGAGAACAATCCACTCTACTCCATGAGACACCTCAATTTCGAGAAGCATCTAAGCTGTCTCAGGTCCTTCACCCCAAACTTGCCTTCAATTGAGCAATCTCCCCTCATCATCCCTATTAACAATCATATCATCCACATACACTCGTTCTCCGCTACCATTGGATTTTCTCAGTAGCCTCCTTTTCCACCTCTACCAATTCTAGAACGAGAAGAGAATTTTTCTCCACTTGCTCCACTAGATGGGCATTCACTAGATGGACATTCACGAGCCCAATGTCCTAGCCGTCCACACTTGAAACAACCAGAATGGGCAGGCGGAGGTAGATCATCAGAACCATCACGATAACCTCATCTGCCACTAGAAGAGTAGCCACCACCGCTATAACCGTTGGCCGTAGCTTGGATCATTTGAACCCACCCTTGCCTCAGCCTTGTCGACTGACATTTGTGGACTCTTCAGCTATTTTTTGCGCATCTCACTGATAACATCCTCATCGCATGCCTGTAAGCAAAAGTCAAAATTCCGAATCCCTCTATCTGTTTCAACCATAATCCGCCCAGTCCAGAACCTTGCCGAATCGGCTAAACGCAGCACCGCAGCTCCAGTTCCACGGTTTCCCATAACAAACCTCCAATCAAGATGTGCACTCCCTCTTTGTCAGACACCGCTGTAACCATCTATCGAAATGGGAAAAGATGTCGAGGAGAGTTCGTTCGGTTGAGAAACCCTGCTCTGCGCTCACCTTCACCTTCTCCTTCCCCAGCTACAGCGACTGGATCGCAAGGGCCACGCTGCAATTCCGCCGCTGCCTTCCCTGTTAGCTCTAATCGCGACTGAATTGCGGGGATGAAGCAGACGGAAGAGGAAAATACGAGTTTCGGGTCTCTGTACTTCGCGATCCCATCGCTGGATTTAGTCGCTAGCCTTTCACGCCACAATCCCGAGCAGTCCCTCCGCTGCCTTCCCAGTTAGCTCTAATCGCAATTGAATCGCCAGGGTGAAGCAGAAGGAAGAGGAAAATGCGAGTTTCGGATCTCTGTACCTCGTGATCCCATCGCTAGCCTTTCACGATGCGATCCCACCCTTGTCTAGTTGTCTTCTCATCTAGCTCTCGATCGAGGCAACTGTGATTGCATACGCTGAGCGGGTCTCCCGATGGCCGAGCATTTATAAATAAATTCTTATACTTCTTATAAATTGGACATTACATTAAATACAAATCAAAACACTATTTATCACTAAATCAATTCCATTCATATTGCAGAATTTTTACTCTTTTTATTTGATTTATTATAAAGAAGCAAAAACCATTGCTAAATTCCTTCGCAATCAAATTCCTTTGCCAAGCAGTGAAGTTCGAAGCTAAGATTTTTTTTTTTTTTTTTTTTTTTTTGGAAAGATTTGGGCGTACATACCACTTAATTTCACATATTTACATATCTAAAGCCTAAACTTCAATTTTTACATATATGTCACCTCACCTATGCATGAAAAATGTGTATTCCACTTCTTAAAAGCTAAAGAATGGAGATATTTTTGATGTGATACGAAAGATTTGAATGTTTTAAATGTAAAAAAGCAAAGTATAGATGTTGGATATGTAAAAACAAACAAATAGATAAGTATTTACATCTCACGCCTAAACTTTCATATTTGCCTAAACTTTCATATTTACCAGACATAGCAATCAAATCTTTAATATCACATCAAAATTAGTACAATCGCCACCTTTTAGGAGTGAAACACATCTTTTCAAACATATGTTCAAACCAATAGAGTGCTATGCATGTAAATATAAAAGTTTAGGTTCAAGATATGTAAATACGCAAAAAACATGCGCTACGTATGTAAATTTCCACATTTTGTATGATCAACAAACATCTAAATCCAGCAATGACAAGATCATAGCGCAAGATATTAATGGTAACTTCTAGCTATGACAACATTTCATGATGATAATTAAGGCAGACAACTGGCCTATGATCGAATGTACAAACGGCATCAATAAAAAGTATTTTGCAATCAAATCCGAGGAAAAAAAAGCAATTACAGAAACAGAATTGGGATTTTCCTTTCAATTACAGAGCATAAACTGCACAGACAACTACTTTACCCGGACAGTGTGGTGTAGAACAGATGAAGAGCCGAATGCTTAAGCTAACTGATCATGGAGGTCGTACCGGTTCTCTTCGTCGTAAAAGCGGTTTGCTGAGAACAGGATTGAGGGATGAAGCCGAGGGTATATTGCTATCCTCCATGCTTCCGCCATTAAAATCGTTGCCCAGAAGATGTTCTTCGAACGAAGCCAGCATACCTCGTATCATCTCCATGTTGTTTGGCACTTCGGGTTGCATCGATCGCTGCAGTACTTCTGAGGATAGAAAGCTCTGAACAGAAGTTCTCTGAAATTGGCTGGAATTTGGTTCTTCAGGTGCATGAAATCCTGAAGATGGATGGTAAACACTTTGGAAATTTCTAAAGGGTTGTTTGTTTGATTGACTGATGGGAGGTAACCATGGTGGTTCTGAGAATTTGTTGGATGGTTGTTTAAAATAATTCCGAAGAGATATCCAGACTTGTTCTTTGTCGCTTGCGTGACAATGGTCTGTCGTCGAGAGGCCGTAACCCCAGTAGTTACATGGAGCTCGGGAGTCGCAAACATAGCAATGGCACTGCAATATTAAGTATCTATTAGATTTCATAGAGTTTGACATTTAGGATTAGAGAAAAATGCCAAAATGATATACTGACTCTTTTTAGAGGTCCAACTGAGAGCTAAAATAATCATCTTTGATGATTATTTCAACCCATATTAAAACAATTTTGGGACAATTTGAAATTTTTATAGACTCCGGGATTAAAATGACACCATGTAAATACTATTTTGATATTTTTTATAGACTCCGGGATTAAAATAATATCAAGTAAATAGTCGGGTGACTATTTTGGCACTTTACTCTCTACATGTAAAATTACCAAGACTTTCCAGTTTGCAATGCTTCTCATGTGGAGTGCTGCTGAAAGGGAAGCTCGCACACAAATGACGAGGATGGGGAAAGTCCCTGCAAGCCAACTGCGAACACAAAGCGGATGACAGATGATTTGATAGTAAATACATATAATATATCGAACACAAGTAAAAAAGGGAAATTTACATACATACCACACAATTCTGATGTATTTACATATGCAACACCCAAAGTTAGATTTTTAAACTTAATAACATGGTGGTGTGATGAGCCTATAGATAAGAAAGTGTATTTCAACTTTAAGAAGGCGGAGATGGTGGTTTTTTTTGATGTGATGTTAAGGAATTAACTGGTATGCATGTAAATATGAATGTTTAGGTGTTAAATATGTAAATAAAAAAATAATTGCGTTATGTATTTAAATGTCCAAAGAGAAAAAGCTTCACCATTGAAACGAAACGGCCATGATTTAACGTAGCCAGCACAACATCGTCAGCAAGGACAAAAATATGCTGGCGTCAAGTGCATTTAATAATGAACTGCACGCCCCAAAAAGAGAAAATCCAGTAATTAATAGCATCTAGTTACAAGATACATTCCAAATAAAAAAAATATGAGGAAAATAAAAAGATTGTAAAACTCAACTAGACAACATACTGATATGACCAATTGGATATAATAGGTGCCAAAGAGCTCTAGCATAACTGATATGCTCCATGTTTACCGGCAATGGTGGAGCCTTTTTTTTTTTCTTTTGAGGGGAGTACTACCTGATTATTTAAAAAACATCCTTAATTTTTTATTATAATTTAATAATTTGAGTTATGTCTATATACTTTATTGTTATTATTATTATTACTATAAATAAAAGTTAAACTTAAAATCCAAAAAAATAACTTAAACTATTCACTACGTTAAGCTATTTACTATGAATAAATAATAATAAATAAAAGCAAAAATAAACTATAGATATAAATAATAAATAAATAAATAAATATCATTATAAATACTCCCCCAAGAGAACTTCATTGTTCTATTGATGAGAAAGTGCAGAGCCTCTTACACGGAAAGCTGAAAGAAACACTAGAGAAACACCAACAGATAATAAAGGTAAAGTTACATTGAATAGTAAGCTATATGGTAATACAGCGAAGTAAATGGAATGTTTCTAGAAAGGTAAAGAGGTGGTCCTATCTGGTTGTCAATTTCAGAGTGTAATAAAAAGTGAGTCTCTAGTAGGAACTAGAAAGTGTAGTAGGTTTGTTATCCCCACTCAAGCTCGACATCTGATGGAGTGATGGTGAGCTTCTGTTGTAGACATTGGAAGTGGGTAGCTGTATGACACTTTGTGAATATGTCGACCACTTGATCAGTTGAACTAATGTATAAAATTTTGATGTTACTCGATTGAACGTGATCTCAAATGAAGTGGTAGTATATTTCAATGTGCTTCGTATGGGCGTGGAAGATTAGGTTGAGAGCAATGGCATTGCTGATGTATTGTCACAGTGGATTGGTGTTGGGCTTGGAGTGGGAATGTGAAATTCCTGAAGTAGTCTTTGAATCCATTACATCGATTGTAGTGGCGGCAAGGGCTCAATACTTAGCTTCAATGGAGGAGCGAGCTATTGTTTTCTGCTTCTGAACTGTCTATGAGATGAGGTTGGTGCTGAGAATTCAATTGTTGATCGTCACACTTGAGAGTGTTCGACCTAGTCACAGTCGGAGCAGGTGTGGAGTTGAAGTAGGCTTTTGGTTATTGGGAGACTGAATGTAATGATACCTTTGAGGTGAGGGAGGAGATGTTTAATGAGCTGAAAGTGGTAAATGATGGGGTTATGCATATGCTGACATATGTAGTGGATGACAAAGGAAGTGTCTGGTCTGGTAATGGTAAGAAACTGAAGTGAACTAGTGACTTGTCGGTATTGAGTGATATTTGGAAACTCTTGAAGAGAGTTTTTTGTCCGACATTAATTTGTGTGGAAGAAGAGTGTGGACTGTTTTGCTCATGGAGAGGCCAAGTTGGTGGAGAAGGGATTAAACATATGAGCTTTGGGTTAAGAGGTAATCATTGGATGTGCGGTTTATATTGATGTCGAGGAAGGTGTTAATCAAACCCAACTATTTGAGTTGGAATTCTGACTGGAGGGTGCCGGTGAGGTTGCTATGGCATGAGAGTTGCTTCCCGTGATAAGGATGCCATAGAGTGCCTTTTTGAGCAAGCACAACTTGTTTGGATGTTGATTGCCTTGGAAACCTTGAGTTTGATGCATGTAGATGGTTTCATCTAGAGAATCATGGAGGAAGGCATTAGAGATGTCCAACCACTGAACTTGTCACTTTCGTTGGAGTGCGGTTGAGAGAAGGATCCAAATTGTCGGTAGTTTTGCGACAGGGCTAAATGTTTCCTTGTATTGCGTGTCCGGTAGTTGTTTGAAGTCTTGCGCTATAAGGTGTGCTTTATATTTTTCCACAGCTCAGGTAGGACTGTAGGTGGTGTGATATGTCCATTTGCATCTGATGATATTTTGATGAGGTGGTGGCTCAACTAAAGTCCATGTTCCTTGCTTTTGTGGTGCTTCAAAGGCCAAGGATATGGCTTGCTGCCAATGTGGAAATTTGTGTATAGCATGTGATGTCGGTGGTGTGGTGAATGGAGGTTTGTAGATTAAGGGGAATTTTCAGTTTAATGGAGTAGGCTTGTGATATTGTTGTCATGCAATGTTTATGGGTGGAGGTGGTGGGCTTGGGAAAATTGGAGATGTGAAATGTGTGATATTGGCTGGATGGAGAGGTACTTTGTTGTGATAGATTTTGAAAGAGTTGTTGAGGGAAGTGGTGGTATGTGAGTTGGTAGAGGAAGACTTGGTGATGTGTATGTAGGAAATTGTGCTGTTGTTAGTTGGGATGGTAAGGGAAAATGTGTTCGTTAAAGACCACATATCGAGAGAGAATTATACGGTTTGTGTGAATAATGCAACAGTAGCATCCTTTGTGGGAGGGTGAGTGGGTGATAAAGATACAAGTTGGGTGTATGCTGCAAGCTTGTGAGAAGCTTGTAGTAGTTTCCATAGGAAACATCAACATCCGAATATTAATAGGTTTGTATATGTGGGGATTTTGGAGTGGAGGAATTCGAATGTGGATTTGAGGTTCGCAGTTTAGGATGGCAGCCTGTTAATTACGTAAGTGCATGTCATCAAAGTAGCCATCCGAAATTATGGGGAGAACTGAGTGGCGAGTAGGAGGGTTTTGGTGGTTTTTATGAGATGTTGATGCTTGCGTTCGGCCGCCCCATTTTGTTGAGGGGTATAAGGACAACGGAATTGGAGGAGCGAGCCTAGCGAGCCTTGCGAGGTAAGGCATCTATATAAGTTATTGGGGGTGTACTCTCGGAACGTATGATTTTTATGGTTTTGTTAAATTGAGTGTATCATTTTCTGAAAGGAGATAATTTTATTGGTGGTTTTAGAATTGATGATCATTGGAAACACCCAAATAAAGCAAGAATGATCATCAACAAGTAAGAGATAATATTTGTAGCCTTGTATTAATATAGCGAGGATCCCAAATGTCAGAATGAACAAGACCAAAATAGTATTTAGACGTAGACCTAGAAATAGGAAATGGTAAGTGAAGACTATTAGCAGAGTTACATTCATTGCAAGAAAATGTAAAAGCAGAACTAATTTTGGTGTTTGTGGTGGTAGATATTATTTTAGCGAAGGCCTGATGAGGATGACCCAGCCTTCGATGCCAAATTTTAGCAGATGACGACGAGGAAGTTGTTGCGGCCAATGCAGAGAGGAGATAGAGGCCATCCTTGCTAGGTCCTTGGAGAAGGATTTGGTTTGTGCTCCGGTCTTTGATAACATTGCCAGATTTAGTGCATGAGACATCGCAGTCGCTATCGGAAGTTAATTTATAGATGGAAAGGAGATTGTGGGAAAGTTATGGTGAGTAAAGGATTTTAGGGAGATAGAGTTTATGTTGAGGGGTTGGAAAAATACCTTGACAGGTGTGAGTGATTGGGATGAACGAACCATCGTTGATGGCTACCGAGACAGATCCTTGGTAATGTTGGGGATTGCGTAAAAATGTTGTAGTTCGAGGTGAGGTGAGCGGTGGCACATAAGTCAAGTACCCAACCAACAGAGCTTGGATCGGTTGATGTGGTGAGCACTGTTTCAGGTTTGGTGGATGGATGAGTGTTGAAATTTACTCGATGCCAACAGGTTAAGGCGGTGTGCCCCGATTTGTCGCAAATTTGACATGAGAATAGAGAAGTGTTGTTCCCGGATCCTTGGCCGCCTCAGTTTAAGGTAGTAGGTGTACGAGTGCTACTGTTCCCTCGGCAATTTGGTGATGATTTCCCACGGCCACTATTGTTGAAGTAATTTTCACGTGCACACAAAGCGTGGGTTGTAGCATTTGTCTCCTTAGCGAGTTAAATCGAGAGGTTGACTCCTTCGCTGCATAGTAGAGAGCATAGATCATCCAATTTGATGGGTTCAGATTGAGTACAAGTGGCAGTTTTGAAGGATTGGTATGAGGGAGGTAAGCCATTAAGGATGTGAAGAATGATATCCTCATGGTCAATGGATCCGTCTGCGGCGACATGTTGTCGACTAGGGATTTAAGATGGAGAAGATATTGTGACATCAATTGGTCTTTCATAGGGATGTGGTGGAGCTTGCTGCGGAGTTAAATGGCCTGAGAGCAACCGGTGGATTGGAGCCGACTTTAAAGAGTTTGTCAAATTTCTGTCGTAGTTTCTAGGTTTAGGATGTATGGTAAGATGGTGGGGGAGATGGTGGGGGAGATGGAGGCCAATAGATTCTGATCCGTGAGTTGCCAACTGAAATATTGGGGGTTCGAAATTAGAGTTCCTTCAGAATGTGGGGTTTCTGGAGGAGGGCTAATCGATGAGCCATCTAGGAAGCTTGCAAATACCAGTGGTGGGAGAATTTTCTCAGTTTGTGTGAGAAGAGGCTGCTGACATTGTTAGGGTAGGAGGAGCAAGTTCTGGGGATGAGAGAAGGGATTAGGAAGAGGGATTGAGGAGATAACCCAATTGCCTTGATATCATGAAAAGTTCACT